CGCCCGGCCATGCTCCCTATTCTTTTTCTCTATTCTTGTAACAACACTTCATACATCATTTCACAGCCTCAACATAGTTTCATGTTAAGAAGAAATGGCATTTCTGAGTCCCTTTACACTGGGATTAGCTGTTTGATAGGTAGTGACCATTGGTATTTCCGTGGGCTTGATGACAAACTGGCATGTAATAGGTCTAGAATATGCATGCTCCAGGTATCCTACTGTGTCCAGGAATGTGTCAATCATATGAATACCCAAAGTAGGGCTATCCTAGAGCCAAGTTCTGCCACATGTAGCCTAAATCAGTTTATCTGTTGTGTGATATGAAAAGTAGATTCTTTAGCTAGATGCCATTGAGAATTTTCTGAGTAGTCATTGTTCACTATAAGCCTGAGTACTACAAGAAAACAATGAGTGCAATAATGTTTGATATTTACAATAACAGTTATGGATATAAACAGCAGCAAATAACCTATATTTCATGATTCCCCTGCCAATAAAATTCTTAGCTGAAAAATGTAATTAAATGCTAAATTCAGTATCCAGTGACACAACTCAATGTCCTGCCTTCTGCTTTCATGACGGAGGGTGATTTCTTGGTTTACAAATATCTATGATGACAGATTAAAAAGAACACTATGCACTGGGTAAACTATAACAACAACAAAGAAGAAGGGACATGTTTCTCAAGAACTATCCATGACAATACTATAACAAAAGGGACCCAATCCTAATTTAGGCAAATAAACATTCATGGTGCAGTACTTTTGAAAGAGATTCCTATGCAGCATAGTAACAAAATAATGGCTCAACACTCATTCTTAAAGGCTGGGAAACAATAAATTTACAAAAAGAAAAATTCCCTTTTCTTTTATTTCTTCTCCTAACCTTTAGATTATTGATATATTTTTGTGATTTTTTTCAATCTAAAAGATGAAACAATATACATCACTGCCCTATATCTGCTGAATGAGAGCTGTTTTACAGAGTGTTTTATAGAAGTTTTGTTCCCTGTAACAAACAATGAGAATGACTTACAGGAAATGACAATATTCTTAGGAATACAAGGGAACAGAAACCAACTACGTTTTCCAGGAGATGTGTTTAGAGGAGGATATCCATGTAAGAACACCCTAGATGGACTACTAGAAATTTTCCAGGAACACTCAAGTACAGGCAAGAAAATTCAGTACAAAGACTGATGCATAACAAGAGAGTTGGAAGTTTTACTAGATCTATGCACAACACAGATGAGTGAAGAAGATGGTAAGGTAGGAAGACAGTCAATAATACTGCATAATGCACTATTTACCTTTAAATAATATTAGATTTTCTTTAAAATGAAGAAAATGGAACACAGAGACATCAAGTTATTAACAGAAAATTACAGAACTGGTAAAGTGCAAAACTTGAGTTCAAAACCCTAGCTTTTCTATTCTAAAGCCTGTTCTTACATAAATGACTTCCAAAGTATCCTTTAGCAGTCTCCATCCAGAGAATGTTATTTTACCATCTGAATTAGTGCATATATTATATATTAGTGTGTATCTAAAATTCTGCAAAAGTCTAATCTATATTATGAATAATAGACATTAATTTTTAAAGCATTATCTATTATATTTTTAATGATGTACACAAGCAACAAATTTCTTCATTGTGCGATTTTTCCCCCTATCAAAGAGGACTAGCCTGCCAAAGACCAGTATTCCATTAAACTCTCATCATCTGTAGAAACTTGACAGTTTGTGTCAGTTTGCCAAACCACTAGGGATTCTAGAGATTAGTCTCTGGGTTACCTTATGCCCTTCCCTTTAATGAGATTATAAATTAGCCAAACACAGAAGATTGTGAGGTTGAGTTCTTACCAATTGGTCAAATATACTCGTTGCCTGAATTAGAATAAAAACAAAGTGAGTTTTCCTCTCCAGAATGCTGACTTATCCAGTTGGGTCATAGCACACTATTCAGACAAAAAGAAATTTCTTTGCCAGGTTACTTTCACTTTCTTTCTGTGTATGTGGTGGGGGGCACACACACATGAGGGGGAGAGAGGGAGAGAGAGAGAGAGAGAGAGAGAGAGAGAGAGAGAGAGAGAGAGAGAGAAATTGATTGATTGATTTACTGAATGATTCTGAGACCAAGGTCATTTAGGACATTTTCTGTACCAGGCATGGATACACATTATTCTAAGGTTACTCTACAGTCCCACTTGGATACCTGTGAAAACAGATCTTTTTCAGATCTTCCATGTATCTCTTACAAATGTCCTGGAGAGGATCTTTCTTCAGTGGGCTGGTGTCTACTAAATTATCATTCCAGGAACCATTCCAGGGTTCCACACACTCTTCTATACATTTCAGAATTTCTTTATCATGTGGAGATGTAATTTGAGCACCAGTTTCCCAATAAACCTATATGATACATAAATATAGTCATAATTAGTTAAAAATGCTTGTTAGGCTCTTTCTTAGCTATAGTAGAGATCTCTGGCTTGTTGAAGAAGAATATCAAATGAAGTAAAAAATGTCAATATTAGACGAATTTACTAACACTAAAATACATTATGGTAATGATTTCACAGAGACTCATCAATAAGACAATCGTGTATTATAACCTATCTTAGAATCTACTGCAGTAACAAGTTAATATAAGGGATCAGTATACCACCTTATAATATATGCATATATTAGTGTCAAACTATAGTCTTATATTTATAACTATATACTAAAGATCATACAAAAAACCATGAAATGGGGCTGAAGAGATGGCTCAGCAGTTAAGAGCACTGGCTGCTCTTGCAGAGGACCCAGGCTGGCTCCCAGCACCCACATGGCGGCTTAGAACCATCTCTAACTCCAGTCTCAGTCTCAGGGGATCTGACACCCTCTTCTAGCACTGCACTGAGGGTACTGCATGCATGTGGTGCACAGACATACATGTAGGCAAAACATTCATACACTAAAAATAAAAATAAATAAATCTTTAAAAACAAAGAAACCATGAAGTATCCACAAAAACTTACACTATTAAACTCAGCATTATTATACAAAACAATAAATCATTCCCATTGTAAATTAAAGAAAAATTTATGTAATATCAAACTATGTATCAGAAAAGATAAAGATAGTATGTTAAGTATCTACATACTTCAATGAGTTTTCAACTTGTCTAGTAGTTTAATCAATAAGGCACTAAGAACAATCATACACCCCTGAAAGCAAAAGCAAACAAAAAAGGTAATTCTAAGACTTCACAGGTTTCAAAGCTGAAAGAGATATTGCTTAGAAAATATTTATGCTGATTCTATCACGGATGTGGCATGGAACCCTCCTGTTCCATCCTAAATGAAAGAGAACAAAATACAATTGAGTACACATACTATGTATTAAACTGTTACAAGCAATATGTCAAATTACTTGACTTAAAAATTCTATCAACAACAGAAACAGGAAATATACAAATTAATAGAAATTAACTCAGTATTGAATTAAAAATGCATCAAGACAAAAATCAAGAAGAAATTACAACTTCTTAGAATTGAATGAAAATGAAAACACAACATACCCAAACCTATGGGACACAATGAAGGCAGTTCTAAGATAAGTTCATAGCACTAAGTGCCTACATTAAAAACAAAACAAAACTGGAGAGATCTCATATTAGTAACTTAGAGACACACTTAAACACTCTAGAACAAGGAGAAATAACACTCAAAGAGTAGATGGAAAGAAATAATGAAACTCGAGGCTGAAATCAATAAATAAGAATAACAACAAAAAATATAAAGCATCAATGAAATGATGTTCTTGTTCCTTGAGGAAAATCAACAAGACTGAGAAACTCTTAGCCAAATTAGCCAAAAGATGGAGAGAGAAAATCCAAATTAGAGATGAAAAAGGGGACATTACAAAGACACTGAGGAAATTCAGAGGATAAAGACATACTTTAAAAATCTGTATTCCACTAAACTGGAATACCTAAAAGAAATGGGTGAATTTCTTGACATATATGACCCACCGAAGTTACAGATAGTTGTGAGCGATCATGTGGTTCCTGAGAATTGAACCAGGGTCCTCTGGAAGAGCAGCAGTGCTCTTAACTGCTGAACTATTTCTCTAGCCCCTTCTAACCTTATTTTTTGGGACAGAGTCTCTCAGTGAACCTGGATAGAGCTCTTTGCCTCAGCCAGACTGGCTGGCCAGCAAGCCCCTAGGATCCATGCCTCTGTCCTTGCAGCACTGAGATTATAGGTGTGCACTTCCATACCCAGCTTTTACCTGGGTGCTGGGGAACCAAACACAGGTCCCATTCTTTCAGAGTGAGAACTTTACCCACTGAGCCATTTCCAGCCCCTGTTCAAGGATTTTGAATTTATTTTTATTTATTTATTTATTTCAGATGGGCCTTCGATAACTGGCCTCAAGCATACTATGTAGCTCAAGCTAGTCATGAACCCAAGATTCTCCTCCTCAGCCTCTGGAGTACTAGAATTATAGGTGTGTACCACTATGCATAACAGTTAAGTATTTTTTCAAGGATTTTATTTACTTACTATTATTTATTTATTTAGTGGTGGAAGGCAGAGGCAGGCAGATCTCTGTGAGTTCAAAGCCAGCCTGGTTTACAGAGCAAGTTCCAGGAAAGCCAAGGCTACACAAAGAAAGCCTGTTTTGGAAACCAAAAAAATAAAAATAAAAAAAGATTGAGAACAAAAATGCTGAATTATGTTTTTTATGATTAAAAGTTTAAAATAAATAGGTGGAATATAAAACAAAGATAAAATATTAAATAAATTTTAATATACTTTCTATAACCCAATATATTAAAAACATTACAACTCCAAATACAATGTGATTAAAATTATTAGATTATTTTACATTTTTCATACCAAATCATTAAAATCAGCTACTATTCTGCATTTCTAACATCTCAATCCAGCCTAGCCATACTTTAAGTGACTACATTATATAGAGAAGCTACAGATACTAAGAATAAAAACAACAGCTAACATTTACTGAGAACGTGTCCGGGCCAGACACTGTGGTAGGAATTTTATGACTTTGGATCTTCACTTCCACTCTATCATATTGGTTCTGTAACTATCCTCAGTTTGCAAAGGATAAAACTAAAGCACAAAGGATTTAATTAACCTGCCTGAGATCACAAAGCTTCTGAGTGGCAGAGGTCAGTTTCCAACCAAACTGACACTCTCAGACATTATACTGTCTCAAAAGCGGCACATGTGAATAAAGGCAAGTACAGGACACTGTAGCACTACCAGTACAAAGCAGAAGATCAGAACCAATGGAATGCCCATCAGCAGAGGATTGGCTTTGTAAGTTAGAACTGGGGGTTTATCAAAGAATAAGAAGCCAATGAAGAACTTTAGGCAGAAGAGTTTTTGTTGGCCTTTTGTTTGTTCTGAAACTAGGGACTTGCTATGCTACATGGCTGGTTTTAAACTCCTGGGCTCAAGCAACCCTCCTTCCCCAAATGGAACTATAGGCTTGGGTTACCACACATGACTTGGATATGTAGGCATTTTAAACGGACACCTTCTGGTTTTGTGGAGAAGTTTGTGGGGTAACCATGGAAGCAAAAATGAAATCAGCTAGCATTCTCTGATTTGTGTAACAGGGCCCCCAGACCTTAGTAGGTCCCCAGACCTTAGCATAACTGACTCCATAATGGAAGTACCATATAGACCATAAAACTCAGCAGGTAAGCCGGGCGGTGGTGGCGCACGCCTTTAATCCCAGCACTCGGGAGGCAGAGGCAGGCGGATCTTTGTGAGTTCGAGGCCAGCCTGGGCTACCAAGTGAGTTCCAGGAAAGGCGCAAAGCTACACAGAGAAACCCTGTCTCGAAAAACCAAAAAAAAAAACAAAAAAACAAAAAAAAAAACTCAGCAGGTAGAAAGTACCACCTGACAAAACTAAAACAAAGACCTAATCTTTCAACATCCACAGCTCTGGGAAAGTCTCTAAATGTACCAACCTTGCTTTTTGGCTTTTGTAGTTCTGCTTCTGGTTAACTGTACTTGTTACCTGAAAGTATGTCAATCCAGAACATGGTTTTTGTGCTTAAAAACTCACACTGACAAAGGCTTAGTACCCCACTGGGATCGTGAACACCTAGTGTAGTCGCCGGCTGGCTAATAAAGACTTTCTATTGGCTTAAAGTCATGTCTGAGCAGTTTCTCTGTGGATACCCCACAGCATTTCAGAGGGAGAACAATAGTGGCTTAGAATGGTAACAGTGGAGGATGTAAGCAGATGTAACATAGTTTACATATATTTTAGATGAACTTGTTAGCAGATGAAATATCACGGAAAGGAAGCAGTCCAGAACAGGTTTTCACTTCTGTTTAGGCGAGGGGGGACTAACTCGGGGTGTATATGTGGCAGCTGTGGGAAATCAAGGGCTCTGTTAAAGAGACACTAGTTCTGAAGTCTGCCGGACATCCCAATGGAGATGACAGATATGAGGTAGGAACGTGGATCCCGTGTCCTTTGCTCTCGCGGACAGCTGCCTTCTAGCCCTTGCACCTCTCAATCTTTCAGGCTTTAATGGTACCAATTTCTTCTGGCTTTTCTGCTACTTCTGGTATCTTCTTTTCCCTTCCATTCATTTCCCTTAAAGTTAATATTCTCCAGGCTCCATTCTCGACCTTCCTTTCTACCTTATCTTATCTCTTAGCTGTACATCCAAGTCAAGGACTCCCAAATAATCCTGTATGTTCTAATAGATATGGTACCCCTAAAATCTGTAACTTCAGCCCATATTTCTTCCTTAAGTTACAGAACTCCACATCCAACTGCTCACAGCACATTTGCTTACCTGGTTAACTCACAATACCTGGAATTTACATGTCCTAAACTGTTATTAATTAAGTTCCTTCCCTGACTCTAGGAACGGGCCAGGCCCCAAATCTTAAATCACTATTAAATCTTTCTCCTACTTACAATGGAACTCAGTGTGTCTGGGGTCCTCTCAAACAAGAAGAAAAATGTAAGAGCATGGTTTCCCAGAAGCCTAAAATGTAGGATCAGTACTGTGCTAAGTACTTTCCCTGTGCACCTCTCAAGCTGCTTTTCACCTTTGCACTCCACTTCTGTCTCTTTGTCAGAGGCTAATGGAGCAAACGGATCCTGTGGCCATTGAGAAGCCTGGGCAGATCAGATGGAGGGTAAGTGAGGTCAAGGTACTATTTCCCTGACTCTTCCCATTTATTCTTCATATTCTTGATATACAAAACATGACTTGATTTCTGAATTATAGAGGGGATATACTGGGATAGGATGGAGAAGTCAAGGAAAACAGAAGTCAAACCCCAATGAAGAGACCATTGTAACGTGCACACCATGGGAACCAGTAAACGCCACTGGAGGTACACATTCTGTGAGAGCCAGGGTTCTGAATCTGTTTCCAGTGCCTGGTTTTGTTCCTCAGTGTAGAAAATACACGTAGCAAATATTATTCAAATAAAATAAAAGTTATAAAATAGGCAAAGATTAGGCGTCCCAGGCTTACCTTGTATCCATTGTCCTCTTTGCGGTTGTGAGATGCAGTAATCATCACACCTGCAACTGCTTTGAGCTCCTGGACTGCATATGGCTGAAAAAAGAAAAAATGTATCACAGCAGCATTCTTCCACTTTGCTTGCTAGATATTCATACATTTTACATGAACATTACTTGTCTCAATAATGCACGAAGACACTCAGGTATCAATAATGTAAGATCTCATCAGCTCCAGATTTGATGGGTAAAGTCCATTCTAACATACGCAGTTCAACAATCATCCAATTATCACCTTGAATAGCCTATCCTACCAATCTCATTTTGCTTGTTGGCATAACAATTTCCTATCTTTTGTTATACAATAATATTTAGTAAATACAACGTGAGAAACACTTCACTGGACTAGAGATATGAATGGCAAATACAATCATATTAGTTGGAGATGGAAATAAATTTAGCAACCATCTAATCCATCACATTTTACATGCGTTTTATCTGACATTACATAGTCATTAGGTAGAAGATTCAAAGGCACAACACAAGTCTTTTGCCTTCTAATTTGAAGATCTTTATGTATACTCTTGTGCCTCCATGTCACATAAGTGCCAACTCACCCTTCTCTCTTTCTCTCTCTCTCTCCCCGCCCCCCCCCCTCAGGTTGGGTTTCTCTTTCCCTCTGTATTAACTGTTATTTCTCTTCCTTGGATGCTTCCCTATAGCTTCTACCATCACACTGACTACTCTCCAGACCACAGAAAGTAGGGGTGAGAGGGGAAGGGAAGGGTGTGGGTAGATATTCCAGGTCTGATCACACTAGTCTAGTCCCTTGACATGATTCCAGAAACAGTTTCAAAATCCACACCCTATCAGAGGTCCTTTCCCCCAGTATATTCTGGCTACACGTAATCAAGGAAGACAACCTTTGATTTGAAGTCATGGTGACTAAAGGGTGTGAATCTGGGAATGCTAAAAATACCTTCCTCATTAACGACCGAAAGTCTACCTTGATAAGGCAGGAAAGCCAACACACTGGGACTGAGGTTAGCTGGAACTGGCAACTGGATGGCACAATCTTAGATTCCTGAATTCTCTGTTACTGAAGTTGACCATACAGATGCCTGTGAGACAAATACTCTACGACTGAGCTACAGCCCCACCTCCTTCCTAGTTTCTATTAGTCACTGGTGCTAACTTTATTGATATACTCTTTTTTCAAAAAAAGCAATTCCTTCAATTCTTTGAGTTGCTCAATAAATTTCCCAAAACTCAATAGAATAAACTATAGATATTATTCATTCCTTAAATATTTGATAAAGCTTGCATATAAAATCATCTAGACTTTATTAAATTTGAGACTACTTAAACAAAATACCAATTCAACTTATTGATTCTTACCATTATTCAGGTTTACTATTTCTCCTGAGCTTGATGCATCAACTGTTATTCTAAGAGACTGGCTAATTCATCTAAGCCTGCACATTTACTTACAGTTAGAAATACTATGATTATCTTAGTTTCTATTGTATTTATTACACAGTCCTTTTGTTTGTGTTTTGTATCTTCAGCACTCTTTCTACAGTTTTATTAACAATTTTTATTACATTTATTTATTTATTTATTTATTTATTTATTTATTTATTTGGGGTGGGACCATTCATGCCATGGCCCATGTGTGAGGCAGAGGACGACTTGTAGGAGTTGGCTCTCTACTTCTAGCACGTGGGCCCCAGGGACTGCACTCATGTTGTCAAGCTTGGCATCTGGAGTCATCTCTCCAGCCCAGTTTTGTCTTCTGTTCCTATTTTAAATTTACGTACTTATTTCTTTCTCATATTTTATGACTTCATTCTTTTTACTCTGCTTTAGCACAAACATATTATAGCATAAGCTCAGTATCTTAACATTTTTTTTTTGCTACTGCATTCCTTAAATTCACAAATTTCCCTCCCTCAAAGTAGGGCTTAGTTCTACCTCGTAAGTTTTTCTGTTTGTTGTCTTCATTACTGTTCAGTTTTAAGATAGGTAGTCTTGTTTCACACTGTCAATATGCTCCCATTTCCACTACCACATTTTTGTCAAGTGGCACCAGCCTCCTAACTTGTTCAAATTTGAGACCATGTACATCAATTATAGTTGTAACACAGTAACTAGGACATGATCTATTCTGTTTGTTTGTTTTTGTTTTTTATTTTCTGAGACAAAGTTTCTCTATATAACAGACCTGGCTGTCCTGGAATTCTAAAGACCAGGCTGGCCTCAACCTCACAGATATCCGCCTGCCTCTGCCTCTGTCTGAGTGCTGGGATTAAAGGCCTGTGCCACCACCACCTGGCAGGACATAATCTATTAACTGAACTAAATATAACGTGGTTGGTGGATCTTTAGCCCAAATCACTATGTATATAATAATCCATCAGGTCAGTGACCAATCACATCAATCTTTTAAAAGTCCATTGGTAAAAAATCTGTTGGTGACTGGTCATGGTCTGTTTTTTAGATCTCAGATGGAAATGCACACAAAACTGTTAGTAGTATATTCAAATCGCTATGTCATTTTTGTCCTGATAAATCAATTTCCGGTTAAAAATATCTCACCATGACTATGGGCTGGTCAACTTATAATAGATCCTGCTCAATGCAAAACTGTTTCCCTTCCTTTGGTTAGATTTTCACTGGATTGGACATTCAATACTTATATGTATGGCAAAGATTTGAATCCTAATTGTCTTAAGAAAGCCCCTGAAGTGCAGTCAGCTGAGTAATCACTATCACAACATACTTACTACGAAAGGTGTAGGAACGTATCTTGAAAAAAGGTAAACAGGAACATCTTTAGCAAGCAACACTGCAGCAGTGAGTTTAGCAAGCCTAGAAGAAGAGATTTCACTTAGTCCTTCCCATTAATTTTAATAAACCAATCTTCCATATAATAAATGTTTCATAATAGAATTATTCTGAATTTTGAAACAAGATCTTCGGTAGTGCCAAAGCTGGTTGGAACTGTTACCTAGGTTTATCTCAAACTCACAATCCTGCCTCAGCCTCCCTTATGTGCCACCATGACCACCCAACCTATTCTTACCATCACCGATTACTTAAACTTGATGAGCCAACTTGAAACTGTCAAATAAGGTTTGTCTGTTTAAGGAGCTAGGGATGTTGCTTAGTACTGGCACACTGGCTTATTATACATAGGCCCTAGCTTCATCTCCAGACACACATACACAAAAACAAAAACACCCTGACAAGATTGGAGGACAGTGAAGCAAATAAACTCCATATGTACAATTATCCTCCTTAAACAAGAACCATGATTACCAATTTATAAAAAGATACTAAGGCAGGATTACAAGAGAACAGAAGCTTCATAATTACTCCTACTCAATGACTATGCAAAAAAATGTATAGACTGACATCCTGTGAATTTGCAATATTCTAAGATTATTTTTATACTTCTATAAATCTAAAGCTTATCTCTGAAGAGCTTTACTTCTATTTCAGCTAAAATTGTTCCCAAGCTTCAGAAAACATACAATAAGCATTAGCATGAGGTCATGTTTCTATATGAAAGTCTCTTGTTTCAGAATTCTTGCCATTAGAAAAAAATGGAATATTTTACCCCCATTCCAATGTAACCTTTGCAATAATTAAAACTGTACCTCTGGCTGCTGCAGCTGCTGGTTACTTGACCCCGAGTGTCATACCCAACAACAAAGCCTCGCTGCTTGAAGTCTGAAAAACACCTCTCCAGGTATTTGTACATCCCCTACAGCAAATAAACAGAAGATTAGCTCCTGATGCAAGCTTCCACTGTAAGTGCCCCCTCCCCCAACCCTACCACCCCCTTTTCATGCTGAGGATGAACTGAAGGCCTCAAACAGGCAAGTGCATTACCACTGAGCTGCATCCTGGCCTCAATGTCTGCATTTTACAACTTAAAAGGCTCCAGTTTTTATGTTTACTTTGCTGCTAATTGACTCAGAACTGGCTTTGGTCTGTATAGCCATGCTTACTAATGCAGGAGCAATACTGCTCCATCCACAAATGTGAGATAACAATCACTTCTCAGATTTTTGAACATATTTAGTGCTACAGAAATACCAACTTAGTAACCACGACTCCAATCCAATACATAAAACATGAGAAAGAGAAAAAAGGTAGGAAGTGAGGGTCAGTAAGGGAAGGCAGGGAGGTCAGAAAGAAAATTCAGAACAAACCAGGGAGATTGTTTCTTACTTCAAGGCTCCAGAGGACAGAATTTTTACCATTTGGCTTTGTAGCCCTGACTGGCCTGTAACTTGCTATGTAGACCAGGCTGGCCTCACACTCAGAGTTCATCAGCTTCAGTTCCCCCTCCCCTGAGTGTTGGAACTAAAGGTGTGCACCACACTCAGTCAAAAGAATTCTTCATGAGGACTGTGACCTTGTAGACCAGTGGTTCTCAACCTTCCTAATGCTGTGACTATTTACTATAGTTCTTCATGGTGTGGTGACCCCCAGCACAGCCCCCAGCCATAAAATTACTTCATTGTTACTTCATAACTGTAATTTTGCTACTGTTATGAATCGTAATGTAAATGTCTGATATATAGGATACATGTGAAAGTGTTGTTCGACCCCCAAGGGGGTCAATGACCCACAGGTAGAAAACTGCCGTTGTAGATACATAAATGATTTCCAACGTAAATCTTGGGACAAAATAAACGATCAAAATTAGCCTCCCTTTTTTATAAGAGTACCTTCCTGAACAAAATAGTTTATTTTTTAAAAGAAGGGTACTACCTTATTTATAAAGTAAAACAATAGAGTGAGAAAAGTACATATATAATAGCTTGTAATACTTGCCTGTGTTGACTGTATTACTGTAAGGTCATTAATGTAGCAAAACCCTGCCCCCATGGCAGACCGAAGTCCTGCAGTCCCAAAAGTCATTCGGCAACAAAGTCGATCACGCAATTCTTTGTTCATCCCATTCCGCAAGAGATTTTCAATTTGCTCTTTTGTTTTGGGATTCTGTTTAAAAAAAAAAAAAAAAGTAGATCTAATTAGAAACATGAAATGCTAATACTAAGCCTGTCTGAGGGCCCAAAATGTAGACTCATAAGCCTGGTTCATTAGATTCCAAGGTTTCTTATTAAAATGCATGTATACTACAAAAATACAGTATTGCCTATATTAATATATACATATATATTTTTAAATGGTATGTATTTTTTATTAAAAATCCTTCCAATTACTGAGTTCCCAAAAGAACCAGGACCTACTTAGGATGATTTACATATACCTATTTTTTTCTATAATTTAATTTTTTGGGGGGGGGTTTTCGAAGCAGAGTCTCTCCATGTAGCCCTGGCTGTCCTGGAACTCGTTCTGTAGACCACGCTGGCCTCAAACTCACAGAGCTCCACCTGCTTCTGCCTTCCGAATGCCACCTGGTTTACAATCTTAAATTTAAAAACTACAAATAAAATGTCAAGGAACATCTCTGTCAGGATCTCTCTGCTTCCTGACTGTGGATGCAATACATCAGTCACCTCCTTCTCCTGCCTCCATGCCTCCTCTGCCACGATGAATGGTCCCCACAAACTGTAAGCTGCAACAAGTCTTCCTTAAGTTGTTACTTGTCAGGTATTTGGTTGCAGCAATGAGAAAAGTAATTAATATACTGCCTATTTTATAATTCCTAACAACTTGAATCTACTTAAGAATATTCTAGTAGTAGACCTAATAGCTCGAGAACAACCTAAACCATGCACTGTATCATTTAGAAGATTAGAAAAGATAGATATTAAAGAACATAGTGTCAAAATTAACAATCCCAGCTGGGTGGTGGTGGTGCACACCTTTAGTCCCAGCACTCGGGAGGTAGAGCCAGGCGGATCTCTGTAAGTTCGAGGCCAGCCTGGGCTACCAAGTGAGTCCCAGGAAAGGCACAAAGCTATACAGAGAAACCCTGTCTCGAAACTCCCCCCCCCAAAATGAACAATCCCAAATCCTGATATTGTTATTCATTAAAGGGAGCCCCCATACAATACTTCCATAATCCAGTATGTTTAAAGTTACAAAACTTTAAATGCTATTCTTAAATGTTACTGTCAGAAATTTGTGTTTGAACAACAAATACCAGGTTAATAAAACAATAAAGAATTTTTAAGTTTATGTCTAAACAGAAGTTGAAATAGGAAACTGCAATCTGAAAACCTGAAGGGTGAACACTGCTGACATTTACTTCTGAGGGTCAGCCAGCTTGGAGATCCATTTCCAGAGCCCTGGAGCAGAGCAGGGATCCAGTCAGATGATTT